TCGTAAAACTGAACCGCGATTAAAAAATCCCAACTTCCAAATATCAACTTGAGATTTCAGCACCGTAGAAAAGGATGTTTGAGCTTCAAATTGGCGAATTTGCGCTTGAATCTGGACTTTGTCTGATTTTTAGAAGCTCAGTAGCAGGCAAACTTCCGGGCAAATGAACTACAAGCTTTAAAAAATCCCAACTCCGAAATTACTTCCACCATCAACTTTATTTTTTAACACAGCAGAACGAAGTGTTTGAGCTTTAAAGTGACAAAATTTCGTTTCTATCCGAGCTTGGGTCGTCTTTTCAGAAACTTTCTCACTTGTATGTAAATGCTAGATTGCGTAAAACTGAACCGCGATCTTACAAAATTGCCAACTCTTAATCTGATGCAAGTATAAATTTGAATTTTTAGCGCGGTGAAAAGCAGTATTTGAACTTTAAATTCACAAACTTTCATTTGAATCTGGGCTTTGACAGAGTTTCCAAGCGCTCCTTCACAGCTGGTCTGCGTGAAAATGCACCGCAAATTGAAAAAAGCCGAAAAACTCCCAAAATAGTGCAAGCAACAACTTAAATTTTTCGCATGGTCCAAAGGGGTATTTGAGCCTCAAATAGGAAAAAAATAATTTGTATCTGGCCTTGACTGCTTTTTCAGAGGCTTCGTTACTTGAAAAAGCCAAACAAATTCTCTCAAAGTCGAAAATCTCTACGGCGTCTGGTAAACTCTTTCAGACCTCGCAGTTCCCCTAAAACCGACTTCTCATATTGGCAAAGTAGCATTTCCAGTCTATGCGGAAAGTGTTTGATTGGAAACCCAATTAAGCCTGTTTTTATCATCTCATTAAAGTGTAGGCCTCATTAAATACCCTAATCAATCAGGATGATTAATGGGAAATACGCCGGTAAACTTATAGACACAGCCCGGAAAAACGTTATTTTTTAAATAACAGATTGCAGTAGAATGTTGCGCTCGAAGACAGATTGGCTGGAACTGGTAGATTTGTAGTTTCCCATTGAAAAAAAAACCTCACATACAAATCTTTTAAATGAAGGTTGTAGACAAACCCGAAAGATTATAGATTAATTATCGCACTCTAAATCAGAGTTTTTCTAAATTTTGACTCCATTTTTCAGTGTTCTACATCAACTGGAAAAGTCACTCCACAACAATGTTCGGTTCGGAATCGCTGGCGAAACTGTTTGGCAGATCAACGAGTTTTCTTCTTCTACTGCTTTACTTCGTCGAACCGTCTGCTTCAGATGCCACACCCGAAGATTGGGTGCCGAACTCGTTAAATTTCAACTTGAATGGGGAAGACAACACGTTCATTTCGGCCTATTTGAACGTCACCTTCAAGACTGATCATGGCTGGAAATGGGACAAGACGGACGTTGGAAGATATGGAGGAAGTTACATTGGTAAGAGCAAACCATCGCAAAAATAATTCAGCTCGGGATCACCCCTCGTAAATCGGCGAAACGAATCAAGGCCAATCCGTTGCCAAGGTGATGACGATGTGTCTCTCGCTCGCACCCGCATTATCGGAGAGAACCGACTGATCCGCGATCAGTTCAAATAGGGTCGACGCGCTACGGGGGTTCGGCCCAAAGTTGTGCAAGTAAGTGAGATAGGATAGGAATCATTAACCCGTTTACTTGCACGACAATGCTGAAGATTAACGGTTGTAGAACTTCGCATTCATAGCGTTGATGTTTATTTATTGTGCAAAGTGCGTTGTTCTTCAAATAAATGGGAGCGTCTTGATTAATGTTACCCAAACCGATCATTAAACCATGACAATCTGCGAAAGATTTTGCGGATTTCAAAATAGCGGAAAACCCCGCACATGTGATGGGATAAAATGCGCATCCTATTCCGGATATGCATCGGCTTCAGACATCGTAATGCGAAACAAGTCGGAATCAACCTGCTGGCCGTTGAAAATTAAAATGTTGTGCACGTAGCCAAGCATTATTATTTGTAAACAGCAATGGATCGGAATTATTTGAGACTTCCTGCAGGTGTGAAATTGCTTATGGCACCAGACAACGTTGCAAACTGTTCTATCGGAAAATTTCCTTTCCAGGTCCTGCCTACGGCCTGCTGGTCCATGTCACATCCAAACACGACCAGGCCGATCATTTCGGCTGCATCTATCCGTACGACAGCTCCAGATCGGATGGGAAACTTCCCCATTCAGGTAGAGTCGTTGTTTTCCCCACACTGTCCCACTCATTATGCAGTTTTCCTCGTTGAATTTCCAGAACTTTTGTTCCAGGCACTCCATGGATCGCTCTGATCAAGCGCGGAAAATGCAACTTTGACGTGAAAGTGGACAACGCGTTTAAGAGCGGAGCTGGCGGCGTGCTGATCTACAATGACCGAATGGCACCGACTTTGGACAAAATGAAACTTACAAATGATCCAAGACGTAAGTTTC